GAGGACAACACAAGCCCATCAGGGAAACCAACAAGAGACAGGCAAGAAGAAAAGACAGAGACTCCCACACCCAGATCTTCATTTACTCATGCAGGAAATATTTATTAAGCACCTTCTGTGTGCCAGACACTAGTGATACAGGAGAATTCTCAAGGAATCTAAGTCAAACTGGGGAAGCAGACTGCACATGGATGGCCAAGCAGTAAGTGTGATGATTTCAGATACAAATTACCTGGGATGATTCTGATTGGGGAGTCAGGAAAGGTCTCATGGGAGGTTTCCACTTGAGATCCGGCCAAAATAAGAAGCAGCTATCTACAGCATAATCTGCCTATGGTGCAATCTAGGGTACTGGTATCCTCCACAGTGGGAGTGACGAGAGGAAAGGCTCTGTAGCCAGAATAAGTCCTCTGTGTTCATGAAACAGAAAGGGAGCTACAGTGTCTACAGCAGAGGACAAAGAAGGAAGGAGTAGGAGGACAGACATTCAGACTCCACAGGAACACACTAAGGCCAAGTCATGTACTCAGCATCAGAATGCACGCACAGGAATGGCATAATTCTGCCCTCAAAAGGTCAAACATGGTGGTTCACACCTGTAATCCCAGCTGCTCAGAAGGCTGAGGCAGGAGGATGGCAAATTCAGGGCCCACCCGGGCAATTTAGGGACACTGTCACTTGGTGGTAAAATTCCTCTAGATTAAATCCCTAGCACCAGGTAGGGGGAGCTTGGAACAGGTGCAGGACTCACAGAAATCCAGTCTCATTAGAAAATGAAATGTAAGTGCTTAGGTAACGTGGACTATGTGCTACCTGTTTTTAAATTTGGATGGAGGCTCTGGGTCCACACAAGTATAAAAACCACATTATTCTGTTATTCGCCTGTTGCCATATAAAACTCAACCTTAATCTTGTATACAACTCAGACTTTATTTTTAACTCATCCCAGAAAAACAACATCGTTTATTCCCAGAGCCTGCAGTCTAGACATATGACAGAAGGTACAGTTCAGCCTCCAACTCTCATTTACCCAGGAAATAATTCACTTTCCTAGCGGCTGTTTCATCTGCGGAATCTCTGCGACATGAAACACAGTTTTCAGGATCACCTAGTGCCTTGCAGATGCTCAGCAAAGGTGCCCAGCTAAAGGACACCACGCTGGGCTCCCCATGCTGGTCTGGGCCTGGCCAGGCTACAGACAGGAGCCCAGCACTCACCTGCCCCATTCTCTCCACATCCACCCTGCCTTCCTAAAGATCCCCTCAATAACCTGCGTGCAGAGCCCCGCTGCCCTGTGAAATGAGATGCTGGAGAAGAGCAATGCAGAGCTGCGGTGCACACAAGCGGGGTAGCTTTGCTCAGGCCTTGCCACCTGCTTAGCAATGTCCCCTCAGCACCGGGCCTGACCTCAGCCTTCCAGGCTCCCCTCTTAGCCTACCCCAGAAAGACTGCCACAAAAATGTGGTGAAATGGGATTTAAGTCAAAATGAGTAGGAAGGCATGCAACATCATGGAGAAAGCAGGCGGACACACAATTAACAGAATTAAACAGGTCCAAAGAAAATGTGATGTACAAAGCAAAGTCATAAGCCAGCACTTCTCCGCTTGCCACTTGTGTGATTTTATTTCATTTCTTCTCTTTAGGCCTCAGCTTCCTCATCTGTAAAACGAGGATCATTAATTCTACTTCAGAGAACTGTGATGATTAAATGTCACTATGTATATGAAACAATTCATGCATAACTGACCAATAACTAATACTACTATTCACCTCAATAATGTTATTATTATTAGTGCCTTCTAGTTTAGCTTCAAAACTTCCTAGCCTGTGCCACCTACATCAAGTGATGTGAACACTTCCAGCTTTGCTTTACCTATCTTTAAAATAAATATAATAACAGCAATGTCAGTATAAGGTTGTTGTTAGGATTAAATTTTAATGGTACAGGGTGATGATGTTTATGTATTATATGAAACACTTTCATACATCCTAACACACAAAGAACTCTCCATAAACTGTGTTGGTATTGTTTCTGCAGCTTCTGTTATCACTGCCTTCCCTCTTTAAAAATATGCATGCCTAATATTATCAGGAGGGCAAAAAGAGTGGGAAATTGCAAATTGTTTCAGACTGTTAATACCATATAAGGAGAGAGGTTTGCCAATACCTCTACAAAAATCATTAGAACTAATTGGATAAGCTAAAACATTTTTTAAAGTTTACTCAATTTAGAATCTGCTACTGAAGCATGTGTGCTTTGGGAACTGGAAAAGATCTTCCAAAAATGATACTGGTAAGAACAAAGTAGAGTAAAATAAAATTAAAGCAAAAAGTCCTCTGCTGGTCATGAAGGGAACCGCAGGTTGTCCTGAGCAGAGCAGAAGGGCTCAGAGCTACACAGGTTATAACTCCTTGCAGCTTAGTCATATGATTAGGCAAAAAAAGAAAGAAAGAAAAGAGGAAGAAGGAAGGAAGTTGAATCTTTTGCATGCATGATAAAAATAAATAAGTAAATAAAATAACCCAAATCCTTGACTATATACTGTAACCTGGAATCAGTTTATGTGCAAATTTAGCAATTTTTTTTTTTGCAAACAAAATACATTCTAAATCCCTACTTGCCTGTGCACATGGAATTAGGATATGCAAAGCTTGTTTAGAAAAATCAGGGCCCCTGAAAGCAGTCAGCCCTTGTTCCGTGCCTTACCATCGGGAATTGGGAGGGCCCCTGACAGGCACTGCCCAGTGCATCTGGTATCCAGTTCCAGTCCAAAGTCAAGGCCAAGGCCAAAGACTGCAGTCATTGATACCCAAGCGTACCTAATCCCTGCCCTGTAGGGTCCCATGAACTCTTAAGGTCTTCCTCCTGCGCATCCAGACAATATCTAGTCCTTGAAGCAGACACACAATGGCAGGGATATTGAGGGCAGGTGATTCTGTGTGCAGATCTGTTTCTGGGTTTGTCTAAAGTTCTAGAGAGGAAACCCTATCACATCCGCTTTCCTCCATCTACACTTAGACAAGCCCACCTTGTGGACAGCATATGCAAAAATGCAGACAAGCATTAATGCTCACCAGATACAAGCAAGTATGGAAGGAAAAACAAAGAAAAATGAACCTGCAGGTGATAACAGGACTTTAAAGAAAAACTGTCCCCACCCATCACAGCAGGCCTGCCCATGGTCCACTCTCTGGAAAGTCCTTATGCTCATAGCCCTGAAGGCTACTTTCTGGAGACAAGATGGAGGCCAGTCTACTCCCCTGCCTGTCTCCCATGTGAGAGTCATTATCAAGGCCAAAGGGCTATTTCTGCATTGTCAAATTTCTATGGAACTAATGACTACCTTTCATCTTTTCCTTGGGGAAATATTGCTATCTGTATCTGAAATGCTCCCCAAACAACCATGTTCTCTTATTATGTACCTGGAGAGCTCATCCTTGCAACCAAGTGTTAGGGACAAAGAAGCCATCTGGGTGACATTAAATTCCCTTGACTATGTTGCTGTAAAGGCTCATTTTTGTCCATCTAAGTTGTCTGAAATCATTGCATTTTGCAACTTTGGTGAAATCCATTCATGAAGCAGATATACAACTATTTCAGAGAGGGTGCGGTTAGATCTTTTATCTTGGAGCAAGTGGCCCCTAATGAGCTCAGTAGAAGAGCCTCATGAGCCGATGAGTAGCCAGGAGTTTGGGGGTCCTGTGAGGATTAGCTCCCCAGAGACAAAGGATCGAATCTGAGGATTCTTCTACTGTACATGGTACCATATGTGACATACTTCAAGGTGAGCCCCCTCTGCATTACCAGGACTCTTCCTCCATATTGCTGCCCCACAGGTGTTATCCTAAACATGGGATCCACAAGCAATCTGATCTATGAAAACCAGTCATTGGAGTCAAAGTAGCAGACACCAGCATGAAGGTAGCCTTCCAAATAGCTTCAGGTACAAAGGATGAGACCTGTGTCATGTTGCTTCCTGGTTGGTTCAACTGCCCAGTTTGGGAAACTATGAACTGTAAGTCAAAGAGAAGCAAGGAAGTTGTCCCTGAAAGCTTTTGAACTTCTGCCTCTTACCTTCTGTCTTAAAAATTCCAGAGGGTAAAATTTCCCACTGCAGCCATTAAGTGTGTTGACCTAGAGTGGCCCGTATGGTCTGTCAGGCCTGAAAATGGAGTTAGTGCTCTGTAAGGAGCAAGACTAAGGAGCCAGAGTTGTCCTACTTTACACAAAGCAGAGCCAAGAATCCTTCCCTCCTCCTCTTCCTACCGTCCTGTCAGCCTTCACCCCAGAAGCCAATCAGGACCCAACACAATGATGAAGCCCAGTTTCTGCGCGGTGATGAGTTTTACACACACTGCTTTGGTGGGCAGCGCTTACAGAGCACAGTCCACCCAGGTAAGTGATATTTTCTACAGACAAATCAGACTCCATGCCTTCGGCCTCAGAAAGCCACAATCCCGCTGAAGAAGGCATTTCTGTCTGCCAGCCAGCCCAGCTTGTGGCACGCAGGCACCCCTGGAAAGCGCTGGCATTTGGCCCCCAGACAAAGCGGAGACTCTGCCAGGGTCCAGTGGCCTGGGCTGGCACCTCCCACTGTCTGGGCAGAGTGCAGGAATTCACATCCAACCAGACCCCTCCTGTGGGCTTATTAACTTCAAAGGAATGGGCTCCCGCGGAGCCCCCACCAGGTCCCCAGAAGCCATGGTCCAGCCACCATGCGCTGCTCTGGCAGCTCCAGAACCACTGCCCTCAAATGCAGCAACTCCCTGGCCCAGGTCCCTAGGCACCCTCATAGTTACCCAAGTCAGGGAGGCCCGCCGGGTGCAATAGGCTCACGCCCAGACCTCTGAGCATTCCCCTACTCCAGACGCACGTCCTAGCAAATCATCCAGCTCCTGCATGAACTGTGCAGCCAGTTAGTGCACACACCCCTGTGCCCCTGGCCCCCACCCTCACCCCAAACGAACCACTGTGGCTTTGTCCATGGCAGATCCCTACCTGAGGGTGGCGCTCTCCCCCTGCCGGACCGTCACGTTGTCCATTGCTTTGGGGAAGGTGGCATCTCCGCTCCGCACGGGCACTCCTGTGGGTACAAGGAACAGCAGCCTGAGAGACACGACCACGAGGCACTTCCAGGGCAGGAATAGGTGCCCACAGACCCCCATCCTCGACAGCCGCAACTTCCCAGAACTCGGAGGAAGCGGCGGCGCACGCCCCCCGGGCGGCACGGGCGGCGGGCGGGGCTGAGAGCAGGCGCGGAGCTAGGACCCACGGGCGGGCGGCGGCGGTGGCCGGGCGGCGCGGGCAGGAGCGCGCAGACTCCTCCAAGTCTAACGTGCCTCCCCAGTCCAGCCTCAGCTTGCCAGTCTCAGAGCACCAGTTTCCACAGAAGGCATCCAGGGGGCTCCCTCGCGCGCGGGCCGGGGAGGATGCCGGCGAGGGACCGGGCGCGCCTTGCAGGGGCCGCGTCTTCCCGTGCGTGCGCGGCTCAGACCCGGTGCTTTGGAGAGCAGTGAGCACTTTGACACCGGAGGGGGATGGGGACGGGCTGCATCCAGCGACCCAGATGTGTGGTTTGCAGTTCCTCAGCTCGCACACGGGGAGTCCAACACTTTCTCTGCAAGTTTCCCAGGCAGGCTCGGCGCCAGAACAGGCTGTGACAATAGCGGGCGGAGAGTAGAGCTCGCCGGAGACGGCGGGGACCCAGCCGATTCGCGCGATCCGGACCCGCGATCCTGCCGCAGCCGCCTCGGCCAACTTCCCCGAGCCCCGGCGTGAGCGGCCGCCGCGGAACGGGCAGGGGCGGCCCCGGGCAGCGCAGGGCGGCCGGCGGCAGCGGGAGCGACGGCCCCTGCTCGCTTGCTGGCTCGCTCCTCGTTCGCAGCTCCTGGGGAAGGCGAGGCGCAGCGAGCTCCGACCGAGCCGCGCGGAAGCCACGCTCCACTCAGCGGCCGCCCCCGGCCTCCGCGCCGCCTTCCTCCCGGGAGCAGCCCCGACGCGCGCGGGCCCCGACCGCCGGGGTTGTCATGGCAGCGGCTCCATCCCTGACCGCCACTTTCTCCCGGTGCCGACTGGAGCGCGCGGGCGGCGTGGACTGCGCGCTCATCCCGGGGTGCGGGCGCGGGGCGCTGCGCCCACCTTAACCCCCGCCATGCCGCGCCAGGCAGAGGCCCTGCACCAGCCCAGGCGCGTAGTTTAACCATTTCCCCCTTGGAAGAGCAGGCACTTCCAAACGAACGAAAAGACAAAGTTACCATGAAATCTTAATAAGCCCCAGACATCTCAATAGTCTCAAACTGATTAACAGGAGAAAACCTGCCGCATGCATATGGCACTTTAAATGATCCCATTAATACCATTAGCATTTAGAGTACCTTTAGGGTGCTGGATATTTTAAAACCTTCTTATTTTGATTCAACAGTACAACACCCACTCCTCCATCCCCGACAGCTACTGAGAACCCCACCACTCTGGCCGCCACCCCACACCACCGCTCTAAACAGCAATCTACCAGGTGTAAAACAAATGTGAAATCCCAGAAGGCGCTTAGGGCGTGAAGTACATGAAATCGCATCAACCATGTTGTCAAGTTCTGACACCAATTGACATGCCCTTCATTCTTGTTTTATGGACATTAAATACGACGGGGCATCCTGGAACGCACATGTGTAAGCCTGGCTTCATTTCTACAGCAGACTCCCATGTTTTCGGAGCTACACACTGACACCACCAGATTCATCTGTGAGCCAACAGAAAGACTTAATGTGTGTCACTTCCCACTACTCCTCACTGTTGCTGGTCCCTGCGTGTGCCTGCGTATTTCTGACCCTGCTTCCTCTCTGCTGGAACAGGAGGACTACCTTGCTGGACATAGGCCAGGCACAAGGGACACAGCACCCCCCACCCAGCACAGAGGCCTTAACCATAATAGGCTCTTTTCTCAGAAGTTCCCAGAACTGAGCTACCTACTGGTGCTGGCCTAAATTTTCCCTGGGAATAGAAAGGAGGCATCCTTGGCTTTGTTCTTTTGCTTTGGAATCTTTTACCAAATCCAATTCGGATTTTTAAAAAATCTTCTTCAAATACTCCTGCTCACTTTAAACAGAGTTATTCCACCTTTTTTGAGTTATTTTTTTAAACTACTACGAAATAATAGAAAATTACTCTTCCTCAAGCCACTCAGCAACCAAGAGTCTGACTTAAGATACCTGAGCAAGGACCCTTTCAGCTCAGGAACAGGGCTAATTGTTACACCAGCACGGTGTGGACGCTGGGGCCCATGGCACACCATGGCCCCTTCACACTAACTATGGACAGAAAGGGCACAAGCCAACCATGGTCATACTGGAAGAAAGATCCCAAAGCTTTTTGCCTTGTTTCAGTAGTTAACCAGACAGTGCTTAAGCATGAAAATCTCTTCAGCTTTGCACTGAAACCCTCAGAATACTGTGCATTCATTGACATCATCACTAGGTCAACTTATCCTCTTTCCTTGGGTGACTTTTACTGACTTTAATGGTGGGGGAAATTGTCTGCTACCTTTGGCCTCTGAAGACCATTAGATCTACAGCACCAAAAATACTAGTCGTGAGCTGATGGCTGCAAAAAGGAAACACACAACTTTGGAAAACAGAAAATTTCATTTATATTTTTGAAAGAAAAGGAGAATTAACCTATTTTAGCCCTGGCCCATTCTTAGAAGAGCCTATTTTATTTGTTTTCCAATGAGAAATTGTGGAAATAGGATGTTGAATGACTTCACCAAGCTGACTTGTTGTATGAAAGCAGATACAGGGCATGAGGTTATCTGTGCTGATTTCCAGTCCGATGAATGTGGGGTTGAAGATGCCTATGCTTCATCTATAATCTATCCATCCATTCCAACCATCTTTCCTCCTGTATCTTCCGAAACCCCCTTCTTAAACATACTTGTGCCCCGTCAAATGGAATCCTGCTAGTCAAGCAGAAGGGAGAGGAATTCATTCTGGGATTTAGAGTCATTTATCTACAGGGCTGAGAATGGCGGAGATGATTCCTTTCATGATAAATTCTGATCCTGTCTCTTGCATCTAATTCCCAGGTAGGTACAAATGAGCATTAGTTTTTTGCATGGAGTAACGTGGATAATGACAACAGCAGACCTTCCCAAGGGGCCTGCACACATGATTAACTCTACAGGAAAATACTTAGAAATTCATTTAAGATGGAAGATGCTTTATTAATGCATTTTTCCTGCCACTGCTTTGTTATGATTGCTAGTTGGAAAAATGGTTCTTTCAGGCCCTTTTAGATGAACGTTTCACACTGGTCTGCATGCAGCTGGTCTAAGACAGACAAACCATCCTCATTTCTGGCTGTGAGGAAAAGTGCTGAGCTGCAGAATCCCAGAGAGCTCAGGTAACTCTTAGGGTAGACAAAGAAAAGCCACTCATAAGCTCACTCCTGGATCCCTGGACCCAGGGATCAAAGCTTGATTCACACATGAAGTTAAGAAAGTGATAAAAGGTCAGAGATGCCCACACAATTAATAAGGCACAGTCCATTTTACTCTATGCTCCTATTGAATTGGTTTGAAAAGATGAAGATCAAACTCATATGTCAATCACCTTCCCATGTCCTAATCCCTAAATATAACCAACACTTAGAAGCTTATCTTGTATCCCATCTCTTGCTTCATAAAAACGGCTGGATTTATTTTATTTCTCCAGCATATCCGAGTTAATGAAAAAGAGATGACAGTCAGAGCAATTTCATTATTTGTGTTCTTTATAGAAACAACTTCTCTGCCTCCTGGAAAGCAGGTTTCTAACAAGCACCCCCCCATCTCCTTCTCCTCCCTCCCTCTCTCCCTTCTTGCATACAGGTATACTGTACACATAAATCAACTTGTCACAGCTTGTCTCTGTGCTGACAGGTGTAATTGCTTCAGGTTATAAAAATATCTATAGGACAATGCCTTTCAAACTCACAGACACACACATGCACAGGATGTATGCATGTGCACACACACACACACACACACACACACACACATTCCTGAGCAAAACAAAACAATCATAGTTCCTTTAATAATTTGGGACTGCGAAGCGGAGGAAAGTGGAGAAGTTTGCCTGCAGAGTCCGGAGAGCAGACAGGCAGGGGAGGAGCTGGGGGAGCTGAGATTTCTGGCCCTTCTGGCATCTGTCCGCTGAAGCACAGTTGAAATAGAGCAGAATTACTTGTAAAAAGGAAATCAACTGTGGTTTTGTTTGTTTTATTCTAAATTACCTAAAGCAAACCGGGCTAAATTAGAGGACCACGACTATTCCGCCATGCAAGGAACCAAAGGAAGAACACTGACTCTAAGAAATGCCAGTGCTCTTTCTCCTTTTTCTACAAAGGCGAAAGGCCCCCCTCTCCTGGTGGAGATTTCACATAGAAGCACAGGCAAGAAAATGAGGAATGCAGGGCAGTTGGAGAGTGGTGTGACATCAAATAGATATTGGAAGATTTAATCAGAAAGAGCAGTGTAAATCTGGATAAAGAGCTGCCTCTAGGGGTGTAGGGTAGGGCTGGGCTCTGGAAAAATACATGCTATTTTTTGCTCTTTCATGAATATAGGATCAAAATAAAATCGCTGCTCTTCTGGGCTGCGGTCCAGCACGTTATGATTTCAGCGGGAGGAGCAAAAGGGCAACTTGAATGGGGGAGAGGGCTTCAGGGAGAGAAAAGAGGTCAGGCACAGAGAGAACTGAGGAGGAGGGTGTGAAGGAAAGACAGAGGTGCGGCTTTCTATGATGGACTTTGAAACCCACAAACTTTCTGAGAGATACACAAGGCAGAGAGATGGTGGGAGGAACAGTGGTAGACAGAAAAGTAATGAGAAGCAAGATGAAGGTGTCAAAATCAAAGTACCAAGAAAGCAAAAGCAGGTACCTGAAGAATGAAGAGCTCATCTCAAAAGTCAGATGTCTCTGGGGCAAAATCTTTCCTTATATAGCTTTTAGGTCACAATCAGACCTTGGACCCAGAATCACAGAGCCATATATTCAGAAGGAAGCTGGAAGGCATTGTGTTTAACCCATTGTCTCCCAAGGGAAGGAC